TATATGATTTATATATCTGTAGAATGCTTATTATTCTAATTGGTTTAGAAGTCATATCATTTATTACTTACTATGAATAATTTTTCATATTTGTGGTGTTGCTTGGCTTGCTTTGTTTAATTTGGACCACATTAACCCTGTTTCCCTACCTTACTTATTATTTTATTAACAAATGCTCATACATGTGCACCATCAAAGATATTGTATAATGCTACAAAAAAAGTTTTAAACACAAACATGCAGTATTGCGTGCTAAGATAGAAGAAAAATTTCAGTAGTCTTATACATGGAAATCTGAAGGTACAGACCACACTTGTCATATCAGAAATTTACAAAGGACGCAAGGAGTTGCTTGGGTTACTGTGGTCACCAAGCTCCAATTAGCCGTTACAAGGATTCTTTTCTTTTCTGTTTAGTTTGATTATGTACTATTTTCCCTTTTGGCATTATCGATCATTTGCAATTTAAGTTTCAATTTCTGCATATCATTTGCTCGTACAGTTTTCAGTTTCTTCCTGTTCCTTTTAATTCTATATTTTTTTAATATTATTTTCCTGATATTCTGTTTTATTTTCTTTTTGCTTTAGCTATATCGGAGTATTTAACGAAAAATTTATATCACAGTACAAATATTAATACTATAGCTGGATACTTTAATAACAAGTTCATAAGATATATAATGTTCACTATTATAATCATTCAAGTATAACTTAATCGTCTTCTACAAAGGATCCAATACTTTGATATACTTCTTATCTACAATGAAAACAGTTCTAGAAATAATATCGGCGGCAACGTTAGAGTTGGATTACAAGAATCATTTCCACTGAGAGTATAACAAATTTCGAATTATCGCACTGCATTAACGAATCTTTGTTAGGGTGTAGACGTTTTTATACGCTAAATACTCCATGTTCTCTTTTCTTTTTCTTTTTCTTTGAGTTAGTTTGATTGAGTTTCGACAGCATTGTCGTTAGGCATTTGCGTAGGACGCAATAATAGTTGAACGAGACGTAAGAAAAGTCGCGCGGAGATTGGGACTGGGCTGTAATGGATAGGTCAAACGTCAATGGATGGGGAGAGCTCGAGCCCCGAAGGGGGTCCGGACACCCCGCCAAACACCCCCGTCACCCCATCACACAAGACTTCAAAGGAGCACCATAAGCAGTGGAAGGAATTGGAGAAATGCGAACCAGAACCAGCCGCCTGTTTAGGTCAGCATCATCACCAGCGTCATCACCATCATGAGCATCATCATAGTCATAAACATCATAATCATCCTTCCGATTTCGACAAGAAATCATCGTCACACAGTCCCCAAGGCAACTGTGATGTCCGACCATCGAACGATCCTTTATCAGTATATTCATGCTATCATGCGCATTGGTGCGCCGCTTCAACCTCTTCCACACCAATCCCTAGTCCTACCCCAACAAGTCCAAGTCTCTCCCTTTCATCAAACTGTAGCAGTGAAGGAGAGACCAGATGGAAGTCGACGACGCGTCATCGGACTACTGAGAAAGCAGATCGATGTACCTCTAATCGCAAATCACTCGGCTATGACGACGACGAAGACGATGCGGACCAAAACAGCGACCAAGACCAAGACCAAGACCATAGCGGCAGTTTGCCCAATCCAGGTACCCGTCCTACCACCGCCAGGTCAACCCGTCGAACCTTTTTCCCCGAACATAGCTGCGAGACTTGTTCTTACCCATTTCTCCTGTGCACCTCGTGACTCGCCCGTTTAGCGACCGATTCTTGTCTTGTCTTATCTCCTTTGGAGGTAGATATAGGAGAGAAAGAAAGAGAGAGAGGTTGTCATTTCATGGTATTTGAGTTTCTAAAATAATGGATCTTCGCATGCAGCTTTTTTGCTTAGGGAAAAAAACAAGGAAAAGGAAAAAAGAATATATGATTCCAAACTCATATCACTTGTGATTCAATTCTATTCGGTTATCGTATTAATGACAGTATCTTTATGATCCTAGTGCGCATTTCCTTCAGTGTCAATTTTGCACAGCTGCACTACATACGCAATGTTTGTAACGCTGAAATATTTTCTGCCAAATCTTGCCTCTGATGTAATAGATTATTTGAGGTCTTCTTTCAATGTTAATGTGCTATGTCAAATAAGAAAGCATTGCTTATTATACATATTATTTTTCATTTCGTCACTGTAAGTAACTTCTTCACACTCTTTTGTGATTAAATTTGCAGTGTTTGAAAGACACAACTTGTTTTGTATCAGTGACTAAGTATACATCTTATATATCTGTAAATACTTTATGTATATCTATATCTATGTATAGATATATAGATATATATATATTTTTTCATGATGTATTGAAAAGAAAAGAGAACACTTTACAAAAGTCATGACAATCTCTCTCCAATGCTTACAGCGTACACAAAGTGAAACAGTACCAAAAGAAAAGATACTTGGCTTGGTTTATTGAGCTTGCGATTAAAGATAAAGTACCCTAGTACATCAAATATTTTTACGTTGTATCGCAATAATTTCCTCGATGATGTTACAGCAACATTTAATTTCTTGTGCACGCAGGAATTAAAATATTGGAAGATAACAAAGACAGCTGCCCGTCTTTCTAGCACATTTTAATTGCAGCAAATGTGCGTACATTCTGAAAATTTGGTTTTTCGGGAAATGCTCTAGTATGTTTTAAGTTCTTAGCTAGTTCTTTTTACTCCTGCGTCCTCATTGTGAATAAATGTTTCACAAGTTCTCTACAAATTACATTAAGGAATTCTTTGAATTTTAGTTTTCTTAAAGTTCACTTGTGACGATGATAAAGGGATCACATTCAATTAAAACTTTTGGATATTGTTCAATCAATTGTTCCAGATGCTGTGGACGAATGAATGAACACATAGCGTATTACCATAATAATTTTCAATCCCCTCTTTTTACTTTTTAAAAGCTTTTCTTTATAATTTCTTTATATTTTCTTATACCATACTCCGCTTTGATTTTCCTGTTTATATAGTTCTTTTAACATATGATTTTCAAAAGATACATGTTTAAACAAATTTTGAATCTATTAGAGATTATTGACCAAATTTTTAAAACAATTAATATATTTCAACATATTATGTTCCTAAAATATAATTATTTCGATATTATTTTCATTTATCTCTGTGATTTCAATAAAGTATTAATAAAATTGAAGTATAGAATTTGAACAATATACGTATTTGGATATAAATTTACATTCGTTCTATGTACAAAATATTATCCGCGGAATGGTTTAAGAACAATTGTAAGATTTCAAAATAGCAACATTATGTTTCTTAATTTTATTTCGTTTCAGTATATTTTTTAGCATTTTTCCCATACCTAGCTTTCAAATTGCTTTTTAACCATAACATTTTATAATTTTTCATAGAAGGACAATACTGCACAAACTATAATACATGTACAACATATGTATTATGGACGCTAGTACAGTTTACAGATGAGACACAATTAACAAAATGAAATTTTCAAACACTTATCGATCGGTACATGGACTTATAAAAATACTATTTCGCATGATCAGATATAGATTTTGCAGACAGTATGGTGCTCAATACCCTTCAACACTACAAGTTACCTATTTCACAGAATACATCCTACCGATCAACTTTAATAAAGTACTTCATAAACAGTTGGCATGAAATGCTTAGATATTTTGGCTTAGCTGCATACTCTATGTTTATGTTATAATTGCTCGTGTTACAATGTATCATTTAAGTCACTAATACATACAAGATAAAAATAATTTTTTAAAATAAACTGAATATTCATATTACACAGTATCTATCGTCATTATATTCTATGGTATTCATTTACATTCATAATTTTAATGAATCAAATGTACATGCGTATACGTGCATGTGAAAGTGTGTGAGAGCGTGGGTGGTTATTCATACAGAGCTATAAATCAACAGCTTTATGAAGAATTCATTATTTTAGTATTTCAAAGTTTATACTGTAATGGTTACAGAGTTATCATAAATTTTGTTTGAATGAAATTTAATTTATTTTGGAAAATACTAATTTTTCAAATTAATAATAATTCTTTTGTAATAATAGTTAATACTATATTTCAAGAAATTAGCTAGAACATTACTGATAATTAATTCATTCAAACGTTATTTACGAGTAATCTTTTTCTATATATATATATACACACACACTTATA